GGCCCGCAGCCGCCTCTCTCCCTGTCCTCCCGCCGCAGGAAAGCCGAGGCCCAGCCGGCTCCCGCCGAGCTGTTGGCGCAGCACGAGGAGGAACCCGCACCCCGGGCAGGAGGCGAGGAAGAAGACGCCGGCCAGGACACGTGGGTCTTCGAGGCGGATGAGTAAGAGCCCAAGCCACCCTCAGGGTCTCCCTGACGTCCCGGGCCACTAAGCCTGGTAGAGTCAGGAGTAGAGGGTGACCCGCCTCTCCTACCCACGGGAAGCTAAGGCTGCAAACCCTGGAATGGAGGTCACAGAAGGTAGCATTGTTTCCAGCTCTTCCTCCGGGTGTGGTGCCTTACTGGGGGTACACATCTGAGTGATCCCAAAGACGCCCCTGCTTCTTAGCAGTCTGCTGCTTTCTGTACTTTTCAGCCCCAGAGTCCTGGATGTGTATTGCAATGGATCAGGTAGTTCGTTGGTTCTTAAACTACCTGAGCTATACATATTCCCTGGAGATAATACTTTGTAAACCATTAGTAGATCTACTGGCTACTACAGTAGTTTGTAATTTTTCTAATTGTCCGGACCTTACTTATTCCAGTGATTGCATTAATGTATAACTCTCTATCAAATATGTTTATCTTAAATACTACCGGGGGATTTTAGAAACCAAATAGTTTGGGATTGGAAAATACCTGGCCCTCTGAGCTTTTTAGGGAAATAGGCTATGCATGAGATTCTTGCCCTGCCTATGTGTAAAGGTTAGTTTTGCTTTCAGGTGGGCACATTTCGTTTTGAGTGATTAAAAGCAGGCTTGGGATCTGTTTTTAAATTTGAGATAACTCACTGTATTTGTTTTTCCCCAAATTGTCTACATAGTCTTATCTGACCTCAAACCTCTGGCTTTTGTTGCCTAATATCCAACCAACTAGATCTTGCCATTTAGTTTTGTCTGCCTGGTGTCGATCTGGCTTGCCATGGTCTCTGATGTTACCTGGTTGCTGTCTGTGCTTTCTAGACTTTTTGTGGTTGGTAGGGTGCTGCTGCTCCTGGGATTAGAACTCAAGGGTTTTGACTTTGAGCTATACTTCTAGCCCTTCTAAGCCATTTCCTTAACAAAACTTCTTTGTATAAAAATGAAAAACCTTCCCCTAAGTGTGCCTGATCTACAACATACAGGACTTCAAGGGAACAGACAAGCAGCTCCAGCAAAATGGGAAGAAAAAGCAACGAGAACTGCGGCACCAACCCGCATGTGTCAAGCATCTCTCGGGAGGTACGGCAGTGCTCTTGAGATTGCGGCCTTGGACCGCAGGAACAGGGCTCCAGAGTCCTCCTGTGAGAATAACGCTCTGCTTCTGCAGTTGGTTCTGTGTATAAGCATCCCTTTCTCATTTCAATATAAGGATATGTTTTTCTCACATGTGACATTTCAGATACCACTGTCCCAAGAATACATAGCCCAAAGAAGCTTGAGCATCCCCTGGTCTCTTCAAAATCCCAATAGCTGGTTTTCACCTTCGTCTTTTTAAAGGGAAATTGTCTTCTTTATTTGTATGAATATGTGTATTTTGCCTGCATGTATGTCTGTGCACATGCATGCAGTGCCTATGGAGGTCAGAAGAGGGTGACAGACAATAGTAAGGTAGGAGTTAAACCCAGGTTCCCTGGGAGAGCAGTCAGTGGTCTTAACCCTGAGTCAACTCATGGGCCTCTCACCTTCATCTTCCTAAGTAAGAATCTGTAGTATTTTCCCAGTGCTTAAGGCCAAATACAAACCTTAAGCATGATACCAAAGTGTTCTAATACTGAGTTACACCCTCAACCTTCAACTTTTCTGAAAGCCCCCTTTCAGGTGATTCTCACGGAGATTGACCTTATTTATATTACTCCAGCAGCACAGAAGTATTAATTTTGTTTTCAATATCTTTAAAGATGGATAATCTGCAGCCTCCTTTACACACCCAAGTACCCAGAGAAACCTCTTTGTGGGCACATTAAATCTTCACACGGAATGAGGTGTATTTCCTCTTCCGCAGCCCAGAGGCGCTGTCTGTAATACCTAACACTGCATTTGCTTAGAGATTCAGCCACAAAGGTTTGTCTTGGCTGGAGCGCCTTGCCAGTCTTTTCCAGAAGGAAGTATTGGAGTCACCTTCTACACACGCCCTAGCTTTCTTCTGGAACATCAGGCCAGTAGTAGATATTGGTACTTTCCACCGATTTCTGGCTTTTTTTAGAATATTTTCCACATGCTCCCTAACACCTGAAATCCAGAGCTGCTTAGCATTGACTATACCACAAGGAAGTGAGCTTTTTCCGTGGTCGGTGGTCGATGCTGTAGGCTGTGCACTCGGTGCACAATGCTTGGCGGATGAACCATCACGTACCAGTGGAACACTGACTAGGGTGTTTCGTTATATTTTAGAAATCAGAATTGAAAACCCATGTGCCACTCTTTATAACAAACCATGTATTGTAAACACCTTTCCATTCCCCCTCAAACAAGCTGGTAATGGTTGGGTAAGAGGTGGCCGCGCGCTCCACAGAGATGTGCTGATTGCCTCTGCAGAGAAGGCAGAGAGGGTGCTTACTCTCCGTCAGCCTTTGCCGGAGAATGTGTAAAGTGGTGTACTAGGGCTTTGAAACACCAATACAAACTCTATTCTTTAAAATGAATATTGTTTTAGAATCTCTCTCCGTGGAACTTGGATTCAGAAGAGACCTTTGATGAAAATGAAGACCTTTCACCTGGGAAGGATGGTGCGGCAGGTAGTGGGAAGCCCTGGACGTGTATGTCATACCACAAGAATTGCACAGATTAAAGGATTTAAACTCTTAACCTACTTTATATAACTATTAATTGACATTTTTCTTATACATTCTTTCAGGCAAAACTAACAAGGTAAGAATGTTTGGCTTAAAGTAACTCATAAAGCATACTACTGGAAAACTATTTGCATGCTCTTTCAGAGTTCTTTCTCAGATCTAAACTTGAAATTTTATTTCTGGAGAGTTAAAATCTTTGTCATTTTACAGGGTTATAAATTGGTGATTAAATTACTATTTTGGATGGGTCTGGTCATACAGGCCTGAGATCCAGGTACCTGGGAGGTGTGGGCACAGAGGGATGTCTGCAGCACAGTTAGTTCAGGATTTGATTGTGCTACTGAGAGAAATGAAAATGTGACTGAAGATTCAGCTGAGTGGGAAAGTGCTTGCTTAGCATGCATGGGCTAAGTATCAACCCCCAGTATCACAAAAGAACGAAAACTAAGGATTCCCCTTTAACTTTTTGCAGTATGACAATGTAAACTGAACTTGGCTGTAATAAATATAGTTTTCTAGTGATTATCAAAAGGAGAGTAATGTGTGCCCTTAAAATGTCTTGAAACATTTGAAATGTTTGCTAGCCTCCTTCGTGGTGAAAATAATCTTTCCGTGTACCCTGTATATCAACATGTGAAATATTTAACTGTAAAAGTAATATTAATGGTATCTAAGTCTCATTAATTAACCGTGCGGAAACAGCAGAAAGTTGGGAGGACACTGGACTTTATTAGAGCATGAATTGCAAGCAGGGCTGTGTTGTATTCAAGTCTCCTGCTGCCTTGCAGAACCACCTAGGCACCCCGGCAGAACAGCTGGTGCTGCAGCTGACCGTGTCGGAGCATGCTCACAGTAGAGTGCAGGTGCGATTTCTTCCCCACACTCTTCGGTCGCTGCTGGTAAAGTTCTCAGAGCTCTTAAACACTGTCTGTACTCTTTGTGTTAGCAGAACAGTAACCAAGGGGTGTTTCAGCTATGGAATTCTCCTGTCAAAAAAGGAAGTACCTTGGATAGCAGGTAAGAAAAGTGTCTACATATTGGGGTTTTTTTTTTTTGATTTTTGTTTGTTTGTTTGTTTTTTGAGATAGAGTCTTACTGTGTAGGCCTGGCTGCCCAGAGGATTAACCCCAAGTGCTGGGATTAAAGACATGTGCTACCAAACCTAGCAGAAAATAAACTTTCAATAATCCACTGAAGTCAATTTAAATACTTGTTAACTGTTTGAGATAGAAAGATCAAACACAATCAGGATGAAAGATATCCTGTGCAAGTAGTAGGGAATAACAGAAAGCCACTCTGAAAAAGCTCAGTGTATGTGTACTGAACCCTTACAGTGAGGCTTAGATGGAGCCAACTGGGCCTCTCATTGGAGGGAAAGGCAATGTGGCTACAACCAAGATGACACGGAATCATAGGGACTAGTCCTCATGGAATGGCGGAGCTGAAGGTGATGGGCAAACCTACTTTTACCAGAAAGAACTCTTCTGGGAACAAGAATTTCAGGTTAAAGGTCAAATGAAGGGCACTGCATTTCAGCAGAGCAAGCGCCCAGTGTGGGAGCGCACTGCAATGGTTAAGGCAATCGCCCCTCTCCACCAGTGAGTGCGGAAATTAGAGTGTGATGTGGCATAACCAGAGAATGTGGTTAGTAGCCATGCTTTAGATACAAATGTGGTTAGTAGCCATGCTTTAGATACTGTGTAGGCTTTTGCTGTAGAGGTAGGAGTTTGGTATCAGTGAAGGATTTTCGAGCAGTTTAAGTATTATTTTAAGTAGTTTTCTCCTCAGCCTAGCAACAAGTAAAGAAAGTGATGAAGTAGCAATAACTAACCTTTAGTTTGCAGAAGCATTTAGAGTTCAGCCTTGAGAAAGTCCTGCTTCCCAGAGCGGCCCTGAGATGCACTCTGAGAAGATACCCTCTCCAGGCTGCTGTCTCATTGGTGCAGAAGGCCTTGCCTTCTAATGTTCCTCTCCTACTGTACTGCGTGGGCTCCTGCCTGTTAGTCACCTAAATTTCGAATCATTTTCCTGTGGTGTTTCATAGGCAAGGTGGCATTCCCAGGCCTTAGCTAAGTGACCGTTTTAATCACTTTCGCTACAAATAAGTCTTTTTCAAAGACTTAGATTGTTGTTTTTATTAAATATTGAACCTAAAAGAACTAAGAAGCCTTTGAGACTACACGTCAAGTAGGTGCATCAAACCTTTCAATATTAGTATTTCTAATTATCTCTCACCCAATTTTATTTGACAGATACAGCTGAGTTCATTATTTGCTAAAATAATTTTTTTTTAAAAATCACAGAGTTTAACTTTGAAGTCTTTATTCACTGTAATTTCAATGCTACTCAAAGCTACAGGTAGTCAATTCTCTGGTGTCCTATTCTTAGCCACTTAGCCACTTTAAGTGCATACACATAGCAACAGTTAACCATTTTAAATCATCATCATGGGCTTAATTGTACTTTCACAAAGAGTTGCCCATCAGTTTTTTAGAGTATACCTTAAGACATTTATGTAGTTGCATCAAATTCAAATATCCTTAGAAACTAACATTTTAGAGGTCGCTATGTGCATGAATGCTATTGGAAACTAAACATTAACCTATCTTTGATAAAGATTACTAATATTATTTTTAGAGTATTTTGCCTTCATGTATGTATTGAATGTCTGGTGTCCATGAAGGTAAGAAGAGGGCATTGGGTCCACTGGAACTACAATTATCAATGATTGTGAGCCACCATGTGGGAACTGGAAACTGAGAACCCAGGTCCTCTACAAGAGCAAGTACTCTTAATTGCTGAATCATCTCTCCAGCCTCCTTATTTAGTAGTAGTAATTTAATTCTACTCAAGAAGCCTCTGGTTAATTCTTTTTTCCTTTAAGGGAATTTAAAAAATCTTCAGCAGAAACTGGCTTCAGTGTCGCCAACAGTGCCAGGCTCTTCTCTCTAAACCACTCGTTAACAAGTGGTCCGTGTTTGACAGACAGCAAGCAAGCCAGTCCTCACCCTGGTCAGTTCCTGCCAGCAGGTCTCTGCTGGCCCTATGCGGATGGGGACTTCCTTAAGGACAGAAGTGAGTTCCCTCTTAGCTCCCACTCCACTATGGAAAACAGCAATAGCGACTCTGGATCTGCTTTCAGTTGGAATTTAAAATACAGAAACCTCAGTGTGGAAGAAAATGTCACAGATGAAAGTGACCTCTCAGAAAATGAGAAAAGGAATGACTATTTGCTCAGCTATTTTAAAAAGATGGACCTGAACTTAAAGCCAGAAACAATAGAACACGTGGAGAGATCCTTCACAGAGGAAGCCAGCGAAGCGGCTGTCTACGCGGACTTTCTCCCTGCTCCTTTCAACACTCTGGACTTGCACAGATTTGCTATCTCAAAATGTGAGAGCTGGAAGGCCGCCGTCCACCCTCCAGAAAGCTCCATTGAGCGGTTAATACTTCGTTTATTGGAACTGGAACGATTACAACATATGACCATACAAAGAGAGAAGCCAAGGCTACAGAGCACTTTCTCAATATTTTCCATGGCAGAACGACCTTCTTCCTCTAAAACCATTGCACTGAAAGCCAGGCCACCGAAGTTTCCTGACACATCGATTCTACAGACCTCTAGTGGAGACAGAAGCAGAGACAAGAGAAAAAACAATTCCTGTTCCGGAAAGCCAGAACAAAATGTTTCTAAATGGAACTGGAACGGTGCCGGCAAATGTAAGTCGAACTCTAGACCACTGCTAAAATGTTCATCCACTGCAAAACAGTGTGCTGCTGCTCTCGATGACTTTAAGAATCCCAAAATCTCCATTTTAAACCCTTGCCAGGAACTCCCACCCAAGCCTGCTACTGCCCAAGCAACTCAATCACTGGCCAAAGTGATCTCAACAAAATGTCTCCCTCCGCGGTCCCCGGTGCCAGTTTCTCCCATACCCCTGTCTTTTCCAGAAAATCCAAAGGAGGAATGTAAGGCGCCAAAAGCCAAAAGGAAACTTCACCGGAAAAGCATACTACTGAATAAAGCTTTCCACACTCAGAAGCAAAACTGCCTATCGCCTTCCCTTATAGCCAGAGGCAAGTGCTCACCCACTGACCAAAAATAGCTTCCGTCCATCTCAGTGTGAGTAAATCTATTCTGTGAAACCCATCAAAAATATGGTTCATCATTGAGAAACAGGTACTAGAAATAAAAACCACCCCACCTTGACAAAATGACTTCTCGATATGCTATGGGATAGAACTTGTGACGTCACTGCCGTCTCTACATGTGGTCAAGGGCTTCCTCACTGACATACTGACGATCCTTTGTATGTTATACGTCCAAGAAATGTCTCACTTCGTAAAGCAAATTATTCAGAAGACTGGTTTTTTTGTGATTGTTTTCCAATATGATTCCATCATCAATAAATGGTACAGTTGACTTATTCGGTTGCAGTTATTGTCTTATTCTAACATACAGCCAGGTAAGAGTTGCAGTTCTCTGAAGTGATTGTCTTAGTTCTCCCTGTAAGTGTTCCAGCTCTGAAAGGAGAGGTATTCCGGCAGTTGGGTGTCAAGGAATATCACAAAGTCACACTGCACGACAAACCTCACCTGAGAGGGTGAAGGAAACACACGGGAAAAACACGGGAAGGTGGCTGCCTCTTCCTGAGAGAGAAGCATCCCAGAACAGAGCAGGAGACAGACTTTATATAGGGTTTCCTGGGGACAGAACTTTCTAGGGTGACTTAGGATTGGTGGGATTTTATTGCTGGGTCTTGGGACAAGCTCAGGGATTGGTTAGATTTTGTAGCCTGATCTTGGGTTTTTTACTCTGTAGAGTAGAGCTTTGCTGCCTGCATCTCAAGGGACTGGGTCCAGTCATTATGGCCCTTAGAGTGTTCTGTGGGCAGAGCCTAGTGGTTGGAGGTCCTCGGCAGCAGGACCTGGCCGCCTGAGTGCCTCAAGCGGCTTACATTTCCCCCTTTTTTGTTTACTGTTGATAAAAACATCAGAAGTCGGAAAGGAGGGGTGGGGGTGACATTCTCATTAGACTATTTCCTGTTGAATAGGGACATTGAAGACCTTAGGGCAAACTTGATCTTCACCACAAGGCTAATATCAGAGAATTGCAGGTCTCTGGCTCCATAGCTAGGAGTCAGTAATAGCAACTGATTAAAAGTCTGATTAGAAATTTTTTAGATCTGTTGTTGAAGAAATCTAGAGAAGAAGTTTAGAAGGAAGGGTACAGATAGCTGGAATAAAAAATGGAGAAGGGTTGAGAAGGGTAGTATCCTGTTTCATATTGGACTGTCAATGATCCACTGGCCAGAAGCACTGAGCTGTTTCTTACTTTTTTAGAGATCTGTCTGGAGTTGTCAGATCTTGTCTTTTACTATACGTGACTGGTTGACATAGAAGCAACATTCCTGCCTGAGGAAGGAACCAAGAGCTCACCTCTCTATGTTATTAGTACATCTAATCCTTGCCAATTTTGTAGTACCGGGTCGGCCAGTGAGTCCATTTGGCCCAGGAGGGTAAGGATGGTCTAAGTCACTCATTGGAGATCTTGGATGAACTCAGAGGAAAACTGGTGGTGAACAGCTATGGAAGTCGCCAGCCCCACTGTTCCAGCAGTATTGCCCATGACTATGCCCCGGACTGCTAGCACCTGAACCACTCGTTAGTCATGCTGTGCTTCTATAACCCTGTGATGAGATTCAGTAAGGCTTCTTCACTTGGTACCATCCCTAGTTTTAGAAAAAGGAACACCAGGGCACAAGTCCCCAACCACCCAGCAGGTAGACAGTGATAAACTTGAGTATCTCAGAGAATCGAGGCACTGGAACTGTTTGGGCATAGAGGCTGCGTGGTAGACTAAAGATTAAGATATTATTGCAGTCTACGGAATCCAGGGTGCCCATAAAGCATGTTTCTGAAGACTTGAAGCAATCTGTGTGGTGATAGTGTGTGTGTGTGTGTGTGTGTGTGTGTGTGTGTGTGTGTGTGTTTTAACAAATAAAGATTGTCTGAAGATCTGAGTGTGGAGCTAGGCACACTAGTTAGCCAAAGTGGCTAGGCAGTGGTGGCGCACACCTTTAATCCCAGCACTCGGGAAACAGAGGCAGATGGATCTCTGTGAGTTCAAGGCCACCCTGGGCTACACGAGATTGAATCAGTCTAAAAGAGAAACAGAGTCAAGTGGTGGTGGCTCACACCTCGAATCCCAGCACTAGGGAGGTGGAGACAGGAAATGATATGGCTGGGTGGAAAAAGGAATATAAGGCGGGTGGAGACAGGAGCTCAGGATTCAGCCTGAGGTTTCATAGAGAAGGCATTTAGTTTGATTTCTAAAGACAGGATCTCTTCTTCAGTCTGAGGATTCCGTAGAGGCCGCTGAGCACACTGTTAGTGACTGGCTGCTCTGCTTTTCTCACCTTTCAGTTTTAACCTCCTAATGTCTGACTCTGGGTGTTTATTATTAAGACCAATTAGAATTCGCTCTACAGTCTGTGATAGCAAGAAGAGAGATGTGGGTGGTAGTGGTATTTGCCTCAGAGTAGTTAAGAAGTGGTGAGGTAAGAGCACAGTAGTCCAACGGGTGAGGCCATGAATGGTGCTTGTGAGTTTGATCCGGGAGGGACACACAAGCAGCGTTCTCCAAAGTGGCCAGACAGTACGTTATTCGGTAGCTAATACGTGGAAGGTAAGGTCTGAAAGAAGAGATGAAGTGGTCAGGAGGCCAGAGAGGTGGGATTGGTGTCCTCCAAGAGGGGAGATGCTAGGGAAGTAAGAACCTTTGATGGACGTTGGATCACATCTTCTGTTTTCTTCTATACTTAGACATTGGGAGAAAGATACCCACTATTTTGTTTGTTCCCACCGGGTGCCTGCTGAACAAGTCAGAACACAGTTTGTTGGTGTCCCAGAGGTCTGGAATGTAGAGGTAGAAGTATCCCTCCTATATGTAAAGATGAGAGAGGGGATTAGGATGGTCCAGATTTGTTATTTGGTGTTTGCAGGACCAATATGGACAACCTCTGTAAGTTTCTGCCTACTTTTACAGTAAACTTCCTTTTGGTCATAGAGAAACAGCATGGGGATAAGCCCCAGCGAAGAAGAAATGGGTAAGGGAGTTCTAGGGAACTGAAGTGGCCTTTGGCAGACTGATAAAGATTTATTTCCTGATCTTATTAGGATGGGTTGTTGGTTAGAGGCAAGGGTCTTTTAGACGTTGAACTTCCTTATGTAAGGGCTACCGCAGACAAGTGTAGATAGGAAGACGGAGAGGAGAGAGCAAGTTTATATATAAAATATTTTTCGATCATTTGTGCAGGGGTAAAAGCTGTTAGGATTTGGGAGAATTTGAAAATCAAGTGTGCCATCTTGGGCCACTGAGATGTACTGATAGGCCACTTATATTAAAAGTGAGGTTTTAATAAAACTCGCTTAGTCTGTGGAGTTAGACGGGGTCACAAAATGAACTCCAACAAAGGGGGTTTTATAAACCCCAAATGGAGCTGAAACACCAAAGAGAAGCCCAGGAGGGCATAGAGAAGCTGTGAGGCTTCCAGGAGGGAGCTGAGGGACAAGGGGATAAGGGCAAAGGGGCCCAGAAGGACTTGAGGAAGCTGTAGGACTTTGCAGGCAGCTCCTAGCAGGAGGAGGCAAGGAAATAGGAAGGGTTTCAAAAGGAGGAGAGGAGTGAGTGTCTTAGTAACCAGAAGAGTTGCCTCTATGGTGGGGTCCCAGAGGGTAAAGCAGGCTCCAGAAACCAGAGAGAAGACACTAAGTAGGCAAGGAGAGATGGATGGGTAGAGCAGGAGGAGGGAAGAAGCGGCTGAAGAGGTGGACTCTAGAATTTGGACTCAAAAATGGTGAGTGGCAGAAGCCAGCAGAAACATGATCTGTACACAGCTTAGGGGAGTCAGATCAGTGACTTGAGTCAGACCAGAAGCTTAGTTCGGAGCAGCCAAGTTCCTTTGCTAGCTGAAGACACAGGTAAGTTATTAGTTTTGCCTGTTGAATAGTGGTTCAGGCTGGGAGGGTCAGCTGAAGTTTTCAAGTTACAAGACTGAATAATGGCTGCAAGGAGTGGTTCAGGTGAGGGGTCAAGGACAACCTCATATAAGGGGTGGGTGAGAAGAGAGAAAGAAGGAAACCAAGAGTAAGAAACCAACCATCTGACAGATGTGTGACTGGGGCAGATTGAGGGGCCACTGGCAGTGGCGTCAGGATTTATCCCTACTGCATGTACTGGCGTTTTGGGAACCTATTCTCTTTGATTGGATACCTTGCTCAGCCTAGATGTAGTAGGGAGGGCCTTGGACCTTTCCCAAAGCAATGTGCCTTACCCTCTCTGAGGATTGGATGGAGTGGGGTGGGAGGGTATGTAGAGGGAAGGAAAGGAAGGGAGGGAGTGGGAACTTGGATTGGTATGTATAATAAAAAAAGATAGTTTGTTTTCTTTAAGAAAAAAGAAAGAAAAGAAACCAACCATCCCTAGGAAGGATATAGTTTTGTCCTTGAACTGTGAGCCACTGAATTAAGTGTTTCCTCTCTAGGGTAATGGCTTTGTCAATGGAGTAATAGCTAGTCCCAGATAGGGAAACAGGTTGTGTATGTGGGGGGAGAAACACAGCTGCTTAGGGGGTGAAACTATATATCCCCTGCCAGACAGGAAGCTTAGTAGAGGTATTAGCCTGGCTAATTTGTAGGAACAGACTACAGAAGAGATCATCATGTATTGTATAAGCTTGGACTTAGGAAGAGACAAAAGAGAGTAAGCCAGAGGTCAAAGCCTAGCCAAATAGATGCAGGCTGTCACAGAACCACTGGGGTAGGGCAGTCCAGGTGAGTTGGGCAGTAAGATGGGTGTCCAGGTCAGTCTAAGAAAAGGCGACAGTGTTTTGTGACGGAGAATTGAGAGGAATGGAAAGCATCCTTGAGACATCCTAAGACAGAGATCTCTGAGGGGATGGGAGATAGGAGAATGCAGGGGTTGACGACTGTGGGGTGGAGAAGAACCACTGCAGAGTTACTAAGTCCGAGATCCTGAACCGAGTGGTAGGTTCTGCTGGGTTTTGTAGCTGCAAGTATAGAAATGTTAAAAGAAGACTGGGTGCATAAAAAGCCTTTACTTAAGAGGTCTGAAATAAGAACCTTAAGCCCCTGAGACTTTAGAGAGAGTGTAGGTTTTGAGCCTGGGTGATCTAATTGGTAGGGCTTTGCAAGAGGGGAATGATGTTTGGCTATAGAGGGGTTTCAGGTGTCTCATAACTGGGGATCAACCTGGGAGACTGGTAAGAGAAAAGGTGTATTACATTGTATGGATTGGAGAAGGAGGAGGGGAACAGCTGGCGAACCTGTAGTCAAGCGGATGGGGGAAGCAAAAGCAATAGAGGCTCCTACTTTAGCTAGAAGGTCCCCTCCTAGCATGGAGACA